CTTTCAAGGCGACGATCCGAGCACTGACTTCAGAGGAATGGGTCTCTTAGGGCTCGACAATCTCCTATTCTTCACCACTGTTTACAGAGAGCCCGCCAGACATATACTGCAGCACTCGCTCCACCCAACTTCCACTGTAAATAATGTACTAGATTAATCTAAAATATAGTTATAGATGTTGGTTATAGGCTGTGAATTATGGTAAAAATAATGTTCAAAAAACAAACTCGATGTGAACTTTAGTGTCAATGCGTTTATCAGTGGCGGTGGCGTCGATGGCCTTCTCGAATAAAATCCACTTATTAGTCAACAATTGTTGTTCAGCCAAACGACTCAACTCTACGTTAATCTTACGCAACACTTGCGATTGGCTCATGCATATCGAGTACTCTTGTATATAAAAAATATAATAAAATTTTGTTAATTTATTAAAAATTTAATAATAATCATGCTAATAGACACACTCACCAACACCCTTGGTGCGTTTAGCGCCCACATTGTTCGCGTAACAAAGTCTCTGTAATTCACATAGTTTCGTGGTTTTACGCAAAAACCACTTCAGAACCGATCGAAACCTTAAGTACAGTACCGTTCGAACGGTGACCCAGAGTTCATACATATCGCACGACACAGAGTTCGCGATGTCCGGTGACTGTTAAACCCGGGGTTGACTGTAGTGTTAACACAATTGGTGTTCAATTTATTAGTCGGCAAAACCAGTGATTAAGTGTCAAATAAATTGTGGTAAAAATAAGTGATCATATGTTTCGGTGTTTTGTGTTTTGAGCTGATGTTGTTTTTTCGATGTCAGCGTTGCTATAGTAACGACGGCTATGCGATGGTATACAGTATAGCGTAGGCTTAATAGTGCTAATGAATATACTGAATAAATATAATTGTTTTATTATTTTAGCTAGCTAATTTAGTTAATCTTTTGACAATCTATGCAAAAATATTATTTTTTAAATAATCATGATGTAACTTGTGAATTATAAAATTAATATTTATTTATATTTAATACAAGATTATTACAATAGCGAATGTAATATAGCGAATATAGAGTGTATTAGTTGAATGCGCAATCCATAAACAATGTGATAAATTGAAACTTTTGAAAGTTTATAACTTGTATTTTAGTAAATGTTTAATTTAAACATGTTTAATTAATTTACACAATAATTTTATTCTATTATATATTTTTTTAATATGTAATATGCGTTTAATTAAGGCAATTGTTTTATTTAAATGTTCATGATACCTTTAGTATATTATTTGGTACATACATAATAATATTAGTACTCATATGATTGGTTCAATATTGTGGCAAAACTGGTTTAAATAAATTCAAATACCTGTGCATTCAGTAAAAGGTATTTAGACAACACATGGACTTCACGTGTGTTTTTGTTAAACATTAACTATTTGTTGAAAAATATTGTTTTATAAAAATATTAGTTTTATTTTATATTTAAGTAAAATTTTACAAAATGTGTTCAAAATTAATGAGTGTTTCGTTGATTGAAGTGAACACAACCTCTGGTGAAGTAAAAGGTCTGACTATCGATGTGTTGAACACAAGTGTC